CGTGCTCTCTCTCTCTCTCTCTCTCTCTCTCTCTCTCTCTCTCTCTCTCTCTCGCGGTGCAGATCCCGACAAGATGCAAAAAGAGAGCAACAAGGTACGTAACGTGCCCCCCCCCCCCTCTCTCTCTCTCTCTCTCTCTCTCTCTCTCTCTCTCTCTCTCTCTGCCCTCTCGCGCAAGGAGTAATTCGGCTCGCTCTGTCGACGAGATCCGTGTGTGCCTGTGTGTGCGCGCGCGCGCGCGCGTGCATGTACGAAACACGTACAGACACACACGAAGCGTAGGACGCAGTCGGAGATGACTGTCTAGCCATGCGTAAGGGACGAAGGCCTCGTCAGTCGCACGCCTATCCCCCATGGCCGATCAGTCTGTAGCTCGCCGCGGCAGCTCCCAGGTTCGTCCCGCCTTTCCTTTCCCGTGCTCTCTCTCTCTCTCTCTCTCTCACACACACACACACACACACACACACACACACACACACACACACATCTATTTCTACTTCCCTCTCTCTACTCATCTCTGTCATCCCCCCCCCCCCCCCCCCCCCCCCCCCCCCCCCCCCCCCCCCCCCCCCCCCCCCCCCCCCCCCCCCCCCCCCCCCCCCTCTCTCTCACCCCCCCCCCCCTACCACCCTCCCTCCCTCTCTCTCTCTCTCACACACACCCACGCGCGAGCCCTCGGGACTGGGTGAAACTCGAAGAAACGACCCGCCACTGGACGTTCTTTTGACCGTCCTGTCCAGCTGGGGATGCGCATTTCTTTTTTTTTTCTTTTTTTTTTTGAAGTGGCCTCCAGACTAGTCTGGTAGGCCTGTGAGAAATTCACGTAAGCTGCTTACGTGTGCTCAGCCCATGGTATTCTTTCGTATAAGTCGAAAGTAATAGTACGCCCATTGAGCTGGGCACGCAGCTGTGATTGGATGCGCATTTCAACTCATCAGTGAAGCTGATTTTGTTACCTGTTTCTTTTTTTTTTGTTTTGTTTATGTGGTCCGATGGACCACTGATCAGATATTAAAAGGCCAGTCACCTTAGACTGCGGAGAGAGAGGTGAGAGAGAGGTGAATCCCGCAAACGGACATTTGCACATACTCGCACATCCGGGAGGGGACAGGCGCAACTTCGCGCACAAGGAAGGCGGACTGGCGACCCACCGTCATATCTGTCAAGTGCAAGGCGCTGGATCCACTTCTTTTTTTCCTTTTCTTTTTTTCAAAAAAACAAAATTTTGACCATTCGTGTCATGGGTGGCATAGTAGGGTGGGCCGAAAGCCGAGGTGGGGTATGAGACGAGGCTACTGACGAGGCTCCGAGCGGCGAGCGCACCCCGTTGAAGCCTGTAGAGGGACGCTGGACCCCATTTCCAGCAGGTGCAACTCCCCACCAATAGAATGGAGCCATCGACCCTGCGAGGGCTGCTAGTGGAGGCTCTCTTACCAACTCCGCTAGCAGGCGCACGCGCAAACGGTGTTTTTTTCAAAAAAAAAAAGAAAAAAAAAAAAAGAAAAGGAATGCCCGCGCGTTTGAGCAGTGGACACGCGCTTGTTATTCCTCTACATGTGTGGTTCAACAGGGTGCGGCCCGCCGGGCCTCATCAGGAGCCTACCGTCTTCCCCCAAACATAACGGACCCCAAAAATGAATGTATACAAGCTATATTCCGGCCAGATACAGCCAAAATGAGGGTGCGTTGTGTTCGGGGGAAGACGGTAGCCACATACCCTACCTCGGCTTTCGGCCCACAACGAAGTAAAAATGAAAGGTCAAATTGTTGAGATGCCCCTGAAAGTTAAGGCATCGATATGGCGAAATGCCCCTATGACAGTCATGAAACTTCTCAAAATATTCCCCTCGGCATGTGGACCCGCTATTTTTCGCAGATACCCCTACCGGGCCCTGTGCAACTTGTCCATATGCCCCTGCGTTACTGGCTGTTGGACCCTTGGCAACAAAAATTGGAAATGCCCCTACACGCACCTTCCAATTTTTCTGTTTGGCCCGAGGCCGTTCCCTGAGCTGCCTCATTTCTGCAAATGGCCCTGCACGTACCGGACATCTCTTATGTTTGCCCCTCCACATGTATGAGCCCCACTGAGCCCATTCCCTTGGCTGGGGCAGCCCGTGGTGGGACAAAACACAAACTGCCATCTATGCCTGCTGGCCCCGCTCCCTCCCAGATGCATTTCGATGATGCATTTCTCTGGGTGGGACTAGTGCAATTCTCTCTCTCTCTCTCTCTCTCTCTCTCTCTCTCTCTCTCTCTCTCTCTCTCTCTCTCTGTGCCCCCCCCACCCCAGATGCCCAACGGATTCTTTTCTACCCAGATCGCCGTTTCAAACTCACTCCGTTCTATCTTAGCGGGCGTGATTTTTTTTTTGCCTCTGCGGAAAACTCTTTTTTTTTTTTGCCTTCAAAACCTGCCGCGTCCGCCGTTGTTTCAAAAAAAAAAAACCTCCATAAATCAAGCAGGCATACACAGCGTCCATCTCCATCTCCATCACCTTCCCTCCTCCTCCCTCATCTTCATCTCCATCACCTTCCCTCCTCCTTCCACTTCATCTCCATCACCTTCCCTCCTCCTCTACCCCCCACGTTCCCACCTCCATCGCTGAAGGATTGCCGCCATTTTCCATCCGGAGGCCGCTTCAATCTGCAACATCTTTCCCTCCTCCTCCTCCTCTACTCCCACCTTGCCGTTCGGTCTTCGGCCGAAGCCTATAACTATAAATAGCTCTGGCGAGCGTCAAATTATATCGCCTTTACTGGCCAACATCGCTTTCCATCACCTTCCCTCCTCCTCTCATACTCCTACCCTACCTTCCCGCCTCCTTTCTCCATCATCTTTTCTCCTCCTCCTCTACTTCCACCTTCCCACCTCCATCCCTAAAGGCGACGGGAAAGTGTAGTGATGGAGACTGGAAGGTGGGAGTAGAGATGTAAGAGCTGGAAAACGACAGGCTGTTTGGAGGGGGGAGGAATAAAAGAGTACTTGCTACGGGGTAGCTGCTTGATTGCCCCATATCCAATGATTGGGCCATGCTCCACTTCCACAACATCCACACGTATGTGGACTGTTTTATGGATCAGATGCGCTCTGACTGATCCAACATTTCGAATGCATTGGTACAGCTTCCAGATCCAGATTCATTTAGAATGTATTGCGGTGAAGGTGGAGAAGAGGAGATGGAAAATGAAGGTGGAGCGAACCGCAGTACATTCTGAATGAATCTGGAGCTGGAGCTGTCCCAAATGCATTCGAAATGTTGGATCAGTCAGAACACATCTGCTCCATAAAACAGTCCACATACATGTGGAAGTGGAGCACGCCTCCATCTCTGTCTTTTTTCGTTTTCCATCTCCTCCCTCATTTTCCATCTCCTCTACTCCCCCCTTCCCGCCTTCATCGTGATACTTTCGGATCAAAATGGAAACTGATGTGAAATGTGTAGCTATGGAGATGGAAGCGGGAAGGTGGGAGTAGAGGAGGAGGAGGGAAGGCGATGGAGATGGAAGCGGGAGGGTGGGAGTAGAGGAGGAGGGAAGGTGATGGAGATAAAGAGGGAGGAGAAGGGAAGGAGCGAGGGGAAGGAGGTAGAGGAAGACCAGGAAGTGGAGGGTGGAAGGTGTGAGGAGGAGGAGGGGGGGGTGTCGGGTCTTAGCTGGGCTATGGCAAGCTGACCTGGGGGTGAGGGAAAGGCAGACGGCAACCCATAGGGAATGGGGACGTCAACAGCACCTTTCGCCAAATTGGACGTGGGCATGCAAAAAAGTTGCCTGCCTGGTAGAGGGGCAGATGCAGAAAGCAGAGCCTCGGCCTCAGCAGTCCATGGCCAGGACAGGGGCAAAAGCAGAAGTTCAGGGCAGTTCGCAGCACCCCTGTGTTTTAGGGGTATCTGATCTGACAAAATACCCCAGCTTTTAGGGGCATTTCAACTTTTTTTTTTTTTTTTTTTTTCTGAACCAGAGAGAGAAATTTTTACAAACTTCTTGCTTCTAAAATGATTTCTGAGCACAGGTGCCACAGAAGAAAACACAAGCCTATAACTTTTTTTTTTTTTTTTTTTTACTTTAAATAAAGCCAGTCCAGCGTCACTAGGCAAGGTGATAGGAGCATCCTACCCTAGTGCGCGGCACCGGTTACTCCAATCTATTGGTGGGGAGCCTCACCTGCTCGAAAACGGGTCCAGTGTCGCACTTTAACATTTTATAAGTTACAGATGGTAAGAAGGCCAGTCTCCGGCTGCCAGCATTGACTGCCCCAGTGAGACTGGGGGATTAACTGAGCAGCTATGCTTTTTTTTTTTTTTTTTGTAATTGCTGCCTCTTCAGACTATCCTAAGTCCGCCAGATAATCTTTTCCATCCTAGCAGCAAATTTTCTTAGATTTCAGTCCATACTCAGAAACCCTTCCCCATGACCATACCATTCCAAATCAACCAACGCTAACTTAGAGAAGGGAAAAAGGTCAGGAAAAGATTCTGGTGATCTTAGTGAAGCTCCTGCTTGTATTTTGAACCAGTCCCAGAAGGTAATATGATAGTCTCTCCTAAGAGAGACTTCATCCCCCCCTTCCCCTGGCCAAACTACATCCCCCAGTCTCTCCCCTGTGGAATCCCCCAACCATTATTTCCGTTTTCTGATTATTTTTTTTCAGTCTTTTCTTAAAATTAACCCAATGAGCTCAAATTTCTGTCTGTATAAATTGAATAATGATTTCTGCAAATTCTTCTCCCTCGGTTTTTACTTTCCCCCATAAATACACACAGCGCTTGTGCCATAGAGCCCACAATATTGCTTTCCTTCCTATATTAAAAAAATTCTGCTAGAATTCTGATAGCTCTGTTAAAATTGGGTTACAATGTCCCAACAGAATCGCTTTCCAACACCACAGCCAGTCTAACCCTGTGAATATGTTCCAAATATAGTCCCACCTTCTCCATATAAGCTTGGCTCCTGGACATTGCAAAAAAATATGCTCTATAGTTTCTCTGATTTTCCTACGTGGGAAGGCAGCATCACATATTTAACACCATGGGAGGGGTAAACCGCGCTGCTCCAAAGACGAATGATCGATCAACCAATCGTTTGTCGGAAGGCA